GAAATCACCCCATTTCCAGTGCAGAGGTCCCAGCACACCCCTGGGCTAAGCCAGACCTGCTTGGAACTGGAGAGACAGATGCTCTGCTAGCCTTCTGAGTTATAAATAGCACAACACGAGAAGCCTTTCCCTAACTGTGTTCCTTTCAGCTGGAAAGGAGTAACAGATGGTTTCTCTGCAGCCATGCAGGGGCAAGACACCAGCCTCAGCCCAGGGAAGCCAGGGCTCTTCTGCTGTGGGACAAGGGTTTTTAAGCATGCACAAGCAAGGAGCCTGCACAGCCTCAGGAAAGGGTTTTCTCCCACTCAAGAGGCAGGGGCCATCCGCAGAACATTCCCCATCTTTCCCCAAGCCCTCCCAGGGATGCAGAGCAAAACCACACACTGCTGTTCCTTCAGTAGAGTTTAGGGTTGAGCTTCACAGCCACTGCCACCAGCTCTGGGGTGCCACCCCAGTAACCTTCCAGCCCCAGCCTTTGCATTCACACACACATCCACAGGCATTCAGCCAGCTTGAGAGGAACTCATAGGAGGTGAAGGCAGTACAGGGCGTTTAATATGCAATATCCCTATTTCCCCCAAAACTGATGTTATTGGGTCCAAGACCATTAGACCACATCAGCCAAAAGCCGCACCAGAGTCTTTAAATCCATCCTTCCAGTCCAAAATTAGGGATCTCCTTTCCCCATTCCTCCTGAGCCATTGCCCTGCACCTTCCTGCAGGGATGGAGGGCTTGGCCAAGCTCCCTAGTCCTGCATCACTTTGCTCTTTGGCTTAATGAGTCCCTCTCCTGAGTTTTGCATACTTCGGCAGGCACTGACTTTATTAATAGCACTGCTGTCCTTGTTCGTGCCTGCAGCCCTTGCACCTGCTTCAACAGTACATTTTTCTCACAAGGCAGCAATAATCCCATCTGCTCCCAATTTTGCCCCATGCCAGCGAGCAAGGCTCGATTTTGGGTGGCAGGCAGCGTGGGAGCTCCCTGCCGTGCCCTGCAGTGGACAGCTCTGCAACAGCTCCCTTAGCCAGTGGGCAAGCCCTGGCCAAGCCACCACTCTACTTTCATCCCATGACCACCGCCTCCCTCTGATCCAAGTATTCTTCCCAGTCCCGACAGTGCCTGCCTGCTTGGGCACATCCAAACTCAGGCAGCCCCTGGTAGGATGGTAATGGGTGGCACTGTGCCTGCCCCAGGGAAGCACCCAAGGTCAATACCATGTCTCTTCTGTTGATGCAGCCCACAGCAAGGACAGGGCAGCAAAGCACTGTGCAACACCTGCTGTCCCATATAGCAGCTCCTTGCCTATCTTTATGCACGACAATTATCTTTATCACCCCAGAAAGCCATTCGTTTTTCTGCTGTGTAATGCAATTTAACTCCCTTTGCCAGGGAAATAAGGGCTTGGTGCCAAGCAAAATGCACAATACAGAGGTTCAGCTGGTGGCATCAGGTTCCCCAGCTGCCCCCCTCACTTCGCAGAAGCAAATACCAAAAGCAGGAGAGCAAAAGGTCAAAATCAACTGGATCCCAGCCCCAAGATCATTTTCCTTCTCAACCCAATGCAAAAGTCCAGCTGGAGGGAGCTGCTCTTCCAAAGCTCAGCTCAACTAAGGGTTTTCTTTCAGCCTCCTCTTATGGTTTGAACCCAAATAGGAATATTGCCAGCTGTAATAAAATTAGCATCAAATCTGCTTGGTTGTGGACTTGATCAGCATGGTTTTACAATTAGCAACACAGTCAAAGGCTACTTCGCTATTGAATTTTCCAAAGTTGTTCTCCCAGCTGCACCATGATATTAGCTAAAGGAACTGACAGTACTTTTTTCAGGGAAAAAAACAAACCAAACCCAAAAGCCCACACCACAAACAGGAAACAATTTGCTGGTGATGAGCAGAGCGCTCTGGAAAGGATAGGTGCAAGATGCACAGAAATTCAGCCTCGACCTGGGCAAGCCACAAGCCTGTGTTGTCCCACTGTGCTCCCCACCCAGCAGCAATACCAATCACCCCTACATCCTTCAGCCCTAACTGATCCACTCTGTTAGCTGTTCGTATTTGTAAGACCACGACCTCTGCAGCAGTCCTGGAATAGCATATCTCTTTAAATATATATTTAATTGAGTTAATGAACAAGTTTCTGCATCTGTTTCTCCATAGCAGCTGCTCACAAGGAGAATTTGCCTGCTCTGGGTTTTATTGTTTTTTGGTTTGTTTTTTTTTTTAATTAAGGCTGGATTGCTGCTTCTAGCTGCCCCTCAGCAGTATCTGCTGGCTGCAGATGTTCATGTCCTGCATGACCCACCATCACCAGCAGCCTTCACACTTTCATGGCTGCACAGTGCTTCTTTTGGAGGGAGAAGGCCTGCCACAAAGAGACAAGAGGTCTATTGGACCCGATGGGATAACAGCATCCTTGGCCAAAGGCTCTACAGCACAGGCGTTGGGGCGGCGACACAGTCAGGGTGGGCAAGCCCAGCCCTTCCCAAGGAGGTGGTGTGGACATCAGTCTCCATTTTTGCACCTGCCAGTGCAAATTCTTAGAGACACACAGAAGGCAAGTTACTACCCGTTGTCCTCCACCTACAGCAGCACTTCAGATGTGCTCAGCATCTCACCACCTTCTGAAGGCAACAGCTACCAGTGAAGCTGGGCTTGAGGCCCACCCGCACAGGAAGCACAAACAGTATCTATAACAACCCTGTGTAACACAAGACTTGCTTGCAAGGAACTCAGAAGAGTGTTTTACCACCTGCTCACAGAGCAACACAAGGTGGGGGCACCTCTGCCATCAACCCAGAGCATGCATCACCTAGCCAGAGACACTGCCACACTCATCTACAGAGACAGCCTGCCCCAGTTTTGGAGCCCACAAGGACTAGACATAGCTCTCCAGCCTTCCTCTGAGCATCCAGTCACTAGTAGCTTTTTTCATAGAAAAAAGGAATTTATTGTTTGTTCCTTACCCAGCTATGCTGTAGGCCCTCAGCACATCTCCATGTCATCTCTGCTTCTCCCACCATCACCAAAATCCCAGGCCTTGCTACCAGTACTGCCTATGGAAACGGTGTCTAAACAGTATTTGCCATCAGTGAGCTTCTCGGGTGTCAACTAAGAGTGTGGTCAAGGGACTCTTTTTTTTTTTTTCCCCCTCCTCTTTGGGAGGAGAAGGACTGTAACTGCTTTAATAACACAGAAAAAACAACATTCCTCCAATTCATCTCAAAAGCAACATTTGACATCACATTTTTATCCCATTTACAGTTCTTTTAACCCTGCTTGTCCTTTTAAAGCCAGAGGGAATTCACTTCTCAAGCAGTAACACTACTTTAAAAACATCTAAGTGGCATCACCTGAACTGTTTTATCCTGCTTCTGGGCTGCCCCAATCTCTGTGCCAAGCTGCTGGCAGTCGCCATGGGGCTAGAGCTGTTTGGGCAGCAGTAGCCTCTGAGTAAGACCCAGAGGCAGCAGCAGAGGTGGTGATGGGGTAAGCTCTGCTGGCATCAGGCACCCAAACTCCTCTGCACACCCAGAGCTGCTGCTGCTGCTTCCTCCCCATTACAAAACCCCTCTGCATGGCCCCGTTACCTGAACAGGGCATCTCCCTACAGGAACACAAAGCTCTGAGATGACTGGTATGAGCCCCACTGGCCCTCAGGGCTTACCTGGGAGCAGGTCTCCAGTGAGGGAAGGTAGTGAAGTCACCAGGCGACAGCACACATTTGAAGGGTGCTCCAAAGCAGCAGGGAATCTTGCTGGTAGTTTCCACGGAGGACCCAAAAGCATCATCCACAAGTGGCAGGAGAATCCTTCTTACCATCTACAGGAGCTTAAAGTCAAGCAGAGATGTCAGCACCATGGGAACACTTTGCTCCATAGGCCCGTGGCACAGGGTGTCACAGGGACTCAAACCAGCCCCTTCCCCCAGCCCTGTCCCCTCAGAGGCACACCCCAGGATGTCCAATCCCTAACCCCACTCACACAGCAAGGAGCCAAGCCATGCTCCTGCTGTGATTTTACTTCCAAAAACAACACGGTCCCCCCAGAGTTCCTCATTTTAACAGCAGTCCCCAGGGGCAAACCACCCCTTGGTACCCAATGCAGCCCATAAGCCCCCTGCCCTCAACACCTCCAAAAAACATCTTTCCCTAGAAGCACCCCCAAACGCAAGGAGATGCTCCAACACAACCAAGGAAGCAACCCTTATCTGCTCCTTCCCCAAACACCCTGCTCCCCCCAGCACAGCCCCGAGCTCTCGATGAGCTGACACAGCCCACCTGGCCCCACACATGGTTTCCCACCATGGGACTTGTCCACATTGCCAGAGAGAATGGAGAAATCCCACCTCAACCCAAAGCACCTGTTCTGCTGTGCAGTAGATACAGCCAACCACAGCCCCTGGGCTGGAGTGCAGAAGGGGTGGGATGGTGAGGGCAGGTCTGAGGTGGGAGAGCAGAGACATGGACTGGGAACCTGGAAAACCTGGGTTTTGGCAGCTGCTCTACTCCTGGAGCAGCTTGCTGGGATCACACAAGCCCTTCCAGTACCGGGGAGCCCAGACTGGGACCAGTTCCCCCTGCTGCTGTGCTTAGGGGATGACCCCCTCTGCCCCACCACAGAAATAAGTAAATACAGGGGCTGTGAAAACCACTATTTTTATCACAGAGACCCAGGGGTCACACATCCAGACATGTAACCCTCGTTTTTCAGCACTGAATCATAGCTTAAACTTAGCCAAGAATTTCCAGAGGACATGCGTAAAAGGAGAACACGTCACACATAGCATAATTTGTTTTAATAAAGAAGTTATTTTACATTTATTTATAGCAGTGAGAAAAGTGCTTCAGAAGAAGATACTCCAGTAAAGGCAAGCTACAGTAACGCTATCATCAGAGTCCTAATATTCATACATAAAGGGACATTGTCAGATTAAGAAAAGCTGTTGTTTTACAATAGAACAAGTTAAAACCAAGTAGTTGTATGGTGAAGAGTAAATGGGCTTTTAATTTCATTATTAGAAACTATTGGCATGTTCTCAAATTCTCAGGAACTAAGAACTTTAATATTTAGACTGCAAAACACTGGGCACAATATCACATGAAGAAGGGTGTGAAGGTCTGTTGTTTTTAAAAATACTCCTCCATCCTCTGTTCTCTCCCTCCAATGGAATCAGACACCATTAAAAAAAACCCCAAACCACAGAAAATTGGTCCCTGCACTACATGAGTGCCTCTATGAGCTGCTGTTACTTCAGCAAACATCTCAGGCCCAGCCTGAACTATTTGGCCCAATGTCAATCATGACAAGACAAGTATGTGCTTCACTTTGTGTACTTAATCATCAAAACATCAAGCTACATACACAGCTAAAACCCTATGACACCTCGGCCTTTGTAAGTGAATAACGCAAAAGGAGGAAGAAACGGGTGTAAATGCAACTGCAGCTGGCAAAGGAACTGGAGTGAAGACAGCAGGGCAGAAGGGTGTCTGGGGGAGAACGGCGGCCTTGTCGCTTGATTTTTAGGCCGTTCACCATACACAGGCAGGCAGGCCGGCCAGCCTTGTTTCAAAATGGATTCCGTGCGCACACACGTCAACAGATCAAGCCAAAGGACGCAATTTCTGCAAGCTCACCCTTCTCCAGCCACTTGCGCCGATGGCTCCGAGGCCCTAGAACAAACACGTCATTTAAAAGGAACAAAACATACTAACATAAAAACTTTGCAGATGTCAGCTTTATGTAAAAAGGCTGCTCTCAAAGCTACCAATTTTCCTCAACAGCTGCAACCAGCATAGCTGTACCTCCACCTCCTGCTATGCTCACAACCTTCAGCTGCCCCAAAACATCTTCTGCTGCGTCAGCTGCTGAGCATTTCTCATTTTGCATCTCATTAGTTATTCTTCTAGGCTGTCTCTTCTCAGAGAGTAAATGACTCTTCTAAAGGGTAGTTCTCTCCAAAAACTAACCTTTGATGGGCATCACACTTCTCGATGAGGAATTTCCTGAAGGGCCTGACTGTGCTGTGCCCCAGCTACTAGGGAGAGGAGCACAATTAGCAAAACTCCTTTGCACCATCATTAATTAAATCCTGTAACCATTTCATTGGTGCCATGATAACTTCAGAAAAAAGATTTTACTGATAAGTGGGGGGTTTTCTTAAATAGATAGTCTCCTCCACAACAGTTTTTCTTGCCCAGCTGAAGGCAGCAGGTATCTTGGTCACTGCTCCTCCAAAGTCAGCCGGCATCTTCCATCTTGGGCGGTATTGTACGATTCACAGTTTTTGCACTTCATGCCTAGGAGATGGAACTGCACTGTAGACCGGGCATTGCAGTCATTGCAGAGGATCTACACTCACAGAAAAGAGAGAGAAAAGGGCTTTAGCATCAGCAGGACACCCAACAATATACTACAACCATGCCTCTAGCAACCACAGGACTGCTTTGCCATCAGAGGACAAAGCAGAAAATATCTTCATTTTGAAGGCAGCAGGGCTGATTTAACTCTTCCATTTGTAACTACTCAGATTGCACTGTATAATCACAGAGAATTTACTTCTAGTATGACAAGGTGACTCCTTGCATAAGTCAGGGACAGACACACTCTGGCTTCTTCTCTTGGTGTAGGAGGAAACCACCAGAGAAAGCCTCAAGTGAAAATGACAGCAGATTGACAGCAGCTAGCAACATTAACCAGTCTGCTGTGCAAGACAGGCAAGTGAGCCTTCTTCTCAAAACAGGCAATAAAGAGATTTTTTTTCAATATCCCAACTCCAGCAGTTGGTAGGATGGGTTGTCTAAACCTTAAGAGATGCAACTAGAACATTAATGACCAGCGCTGTAATAGAGTGTTACCTGCAAACAGCAACCAGTTTCACGGTTCTGTGTTAACACAAAGAAACAGAAAGAAAACTGAAGTCTCTACGTGCTAGACTGCACAGATCAGTAGCTGAGTATTTTTGCAGAAAACCCATCATGTGTAGTCTGGAACATGAAGCTCCAAGCTGTTAAAAAACAAATGTTCCTGCTTTTTGCTATGACAGCACCTAATGCTACTGGAGAAAATGAGATACTTCCAGAGACCAAGCCATTCCTGTGCTGTGATACTACAACACTAAGAAGCTGTGGTTTTGGGGTTGGTTTCTGTTTGTAGTGTATGTGGGGCGTAGGGTTTTTTAGTGTGTTTACAAACCCAGTCGGTGAATACTGTAAGCCAATACAAAACATTTCTTCATCACTCCCTAACCATTAGGTTGACTTCTGATCCAGGACAAGTTCCTAGTGCCCTCTACTGCCAGTAATGCACAGGCACAGATCTGCCAAGAACAAGACATTGGCATCTCATCTCTTACCTCCACCATCATGTTCTGATACTCTGTGGGCATAGGAGTCTGCGCTACCTCATCATCCAGCTGACGCCAGTACCTTGTCATATCTAAAGCTGAGTGCATGCACAAAGGACACCTGTAACCTCTGGCACAAAGGAAAAAAAAAGTCTAAATCAGAAGATGGAGTAGGGCCATGAAACAAGTATACTCAAAAAGGACAAGCTTCATATCATATCAGTCAAACAGAAAACACCACGAATCAAAAAGTTCTTGCACAGAACTGGAAATTAAGAGACCCCTTTACCTTTAGGAGTTGGTTTAAAATTACTGGTTACAGGATTGGCATCATGATCTTCACCTCTCAAAATAATCTGGACTACAACAGTATTAAGAGAAGAGATGCTTAGAAATACTTACTCCTTTAGCATGTCCTCGTAACATGTTCTGAAAACACAGTGAGAAGTTCAGTAAGAAGAATGCAATTACTGACCGGTAACACATTTGAACTGAACAAAGGGAAAAGGTGCAGAGCTATCCCCAACTCAAAAGTTAAAAAAGCTTCCTAGCAAAATCACTGGGTATTGAGGCAAAAATCCAGAGATGAAGCACATCTGATTCCATTTTAAGGTCTTCCAACTTAACACAAGGGAGCAGTCTCAACACTATGACAATGATTGTGTGGTTCAAGTTTGCTGAAAAAACAGTGTGATACATCACAAGGTAAGTTTAAGATGCGAAAAAAGTTGAAGGAAGATTCCATCTGTGGAGATCTATATCAAACACAGAGACAATGGGGATAAAACCAGGAGTCAATGGAGTAACAAAAACCTGCATCTGTAATACAAAACAGAAGCAGAAAGGGAAAATGGAAGAGAAACATGGCATCCAGTGCTATATATCACATCACCTGAAAATCCCAAATAAGTTGGCAGGTTTTTCAGTGCAACAGAGCAGTCCATTGTCTTGGGGGGTGGGGGGCTGTCTAAAACTTAACTGATGGGCTGCCATCAACCTCTTAAAACCATTGTGTAACTGTTTTCTGCACCAAGGGGAGACTTCTCCACTTGAAATTTATGTAGGGATTCTTGAAATTTAAAGTAGCAACAGAAGGAAATTCAGCATGAGAAAATTTAGAATGAACAATATCCAGGTCCCTCCACCACTGCCAAAATTCACTGTGGAAGGAAGCCAACCTTTCTAAAAAAATTATTTCCTGATGAAACTGAGACTATCCCCTACAGTGCAAGTATCTTAAAAAACAGCTGTAAAAAGCTGTTACAGACTAACCAGGCTTGTAGTGCCATTGAATAAACACCATACATAAGGCAACAGCTATTCCCTAGTATCTGCAATGCTTTACCTGTGAAGAAGGTGACCACATGGCAGAACATGAGCTCCAACACGAGATGTGTGAATATCCTGTTTCAAGGCAAGTAGCAGACAAAAGCAAGAAAATTAAATCAAACACAATAAAAACCACAGCCACACACAAGTCCAAGAAATGAAAAGCAGCTCACCTCCAAACATATTGGACAGTCCTGCCTGGAGACATTTTCAATACACTTCTCAAAGACAGAGGAAAAAAAAAAAAAAAAAGTTGTTCAACTGTCTGGATTCTTGTATTTTTCTAAATTCTCAGATTCCTTTACAATGGTAAGATGAAACATTACTGCTTGCATTTAGATTTGAAGTTCTGAGAATTAACAGATGGCTTAGCATATTAAAAACCAAACAGTTTCAAAACATACATAAGGAACTCCCAGAACTCCCGCACCAGGATGCGGTCTAGCTTTTCCTATACCGCAGCAGGAACGGGAGCTCTAACTGACACTACTGTTAGATCTGCAATCAATAGCCCCTTCTGAAAGGAGAGGAGACCAAGATGTTTATTCCCTATAGCTTTAACTGCGAGCAACACCAGCCCAGAAGCACTCTGTGTCGCGATTAGGTGCACTTAAGAGAAAAGAGAGCCTGCGGCTCCGCCTGTCCGTACGGCCTTGGGTGGAGATGAGGCACCATCAGCCTTCACTTTCAAGGATGGTTTGGTTGGTTGTTTTTTTAAGACACGGAGTTCAGTTCTTACCTTGTGCTTTCCTCGAAGACTCAAGCTTAGGCATAAATTGCATTTTGAACAGTGGAAAAAGTCTTCCTTTGGACCAATCCTGAAGAGAAATGCGTCAGTCAAGGCCCGTTCCCCCCCTTTCGGTACCGCCCCGCCGCGGGGCCCGAGCGCCCCTCACGCACCTGCAAATGCCACACTCGGCGCAGTGGTACTGCTTCTTGTCGCGGTCGAAGAGGTGGCAGATACCGCAGTAATACTCGCCGAAGAGGCTGTGGCAGCCCTCACAGCGCTGCTGCGCCTGCCGCCGCAGCGCGGAGAAGGGAAGCGGGGAAACGGCCGTTCAGTGCCCGGCCGGCCCCCCACGCAACATGGCGGCGCGCCCCCCCCCAAAATGGCGGCGCCCTCCGGCCACCCTACCGGACCCACCTTCTGCAGGAGGCGGCAGCGGGTGCACTGCACCTCGGCAACGCGGAAACGGTCCAGCCGGTGCCCCTCGGCGCCATCGTGGCACAGCCGGCAGGCGTACAGCTTCCCGCAGCACGGCGCCTGCGAACGGCACGGCACACGCTCAGCGCCC